AGCCTGGTGTGTCTCTCCTGTAATGCCCTGGGTTTGTAAAAAAAGGGAAGTGGAGAGAAATTTAGTGAGTGGCAAGTGGTGAGGCTGGATCTTGGCCCTCCAGATGACCCTGCTGAGGCAAGGGTCCTTCTGCAAAACCTCCTGGGTCGGTGGAGAAGAGGTGGGGACGTGGGGGGCTGAGGGGGAGGGGTCAGAACCAGCAATATTCACCAAAGGTATAAGCAAAACCATCAGTTTTTAATGGTGTAAAGAGATAGGCAGCTGCTTGAGAGGAAGCCTCAGGGCTAAGATGGACTTAGGGGGTGGGATGTCCCAGGAAAAATGCAATGTCTGCTTTTTAACTGGGTCGGTGGAGAAGAGGTGGGGACGTGGGGGGCTGAGGGGGAGGGGTCAGAACCAGCAATATTCACCAAAGGTATAAGCAAAACCATCAGTTTTTAATGGTGTAAAGAGATAGGCAGCTGCTTGAGAGGAAGCCTCAGGGCTAAGATGGACTTAGGGGGTGGGATGTCCCAGGAAAAATGCAATGTCTGCTTTTTAAAAGAGGGCTGTGGTTGGGGTGCTGTGAGCAGGATATTCTCTGAGCCAGGGCTCAGGTTTCTGTTGTTTCCTGCAAATTTTTCTAAGTCCTTGCAGCACGTGTCCCATATCCACAGTTGCACTCCTGGCGTTGTTTTGCTCTGATGCATGAATAACATGCAGTGTAAAGGAAAAGGGTCTGATTACATATTTAATGGATAAAAGGAGCTGTTGTGGTCTGCTAGCCACATAATAAAAATTTCAGAAGAAATTGTCTTAATACAGTATTTACCCAAGAGACTGCCATGGCTGCAAATGTGAAAAAGCTGGTTTAAATTTTACCATTTTTTTAAGGCCCATTTCAGAGCCTTCCCCATTTCCAAACCACCCATCTTCTCAACTTTTTCTTCATTTAAATTTAAAATAAGGAAAACAAACTATTCTTTTCCTTAGCAGCTGGCAGATCTTCTGTAACATGAAAGGTGTGGCTTAAACTGACAAAACCCCAGAGCAGTGTCCGTTTTTGGCTGGGGTTTGGGAAGGAGCTCGCTGCTCACACAGCAGATGGATGCTGACCTGTCTCCCCACCTTGCAGGCTCCCTGTCGCTGCCTCTCTCACCCCTGGCCATTCCCATTGCAAATTTGTCCTGGTTTGGGGTAAATAGAGCTGGTTCTGCTCTATGATTTTACTTTTTAGCTAAAGCTCTTCTAAGGAACTGCTCTGTCTGAAGTTATCTGGCTGGAGGAGTGATAAGACTTCATGTTTGGAGTTCCTGCCAGGGGCTGGGATGCAGACCAAGGCCATGCTGAGCTGGGATCCCACACAGAGGGGGGCAGGGAGCACCCCCCAGCTGCGGGGAGGAGCAGGCAGGAGAACTGACCCCAGGATTCACCAATGGGGTGTTCCATCCCCCAGCCCTCACACCCAATAGAAGCTGGAGGATGAGGAGGGGCAGCCCCTCCATCGCCCCTTCCGCTCCTCTCTTCTGGCTGCTGCAGTGGATGGCATCCCAGGGGGACTCCATCCATCCTGCCTTTCATCTCAGCTCCTCTGTTCCTGAACTGAGCTCCAGAATCCAGCTCCTGTGCCCAGTCCTTGTCTATGGGCCAGTCCAGCTTGGGACCCTCTCCCTGGGGGCTGCCCCCCAGCTGGGGGTGAGGTGACGTATTGCCACGGGGGGAGCTGGGCTTGGGACTGACTCTGTGTATTTGTATGTATTTGTGCATAGCCTAATTTATTTTCCTTGTTACCATTATTACTAGGGGTAGTATTAAAACTGCTTTCTATTCTTTTCTAATCAACAAGTCTCTCTCTCTCTCTTATTCCCTTTCTGGGGTAGGAGGAGGGGAGAGAGCATCTCTTATGGTTCTAGGGACTGCCCTGACCCCAAACCATGCCAAAATTCAACTGCAAAAGCTGCCTCCTGTGCTGCCCAGGGCTGTTGTCCATCCCCATCCTGCTCAGCTGTGGTGGGCACGTCCTCAGTGTCTTTTGGGCCAGGATGTCCCACGTGGGAAGAGGCCAGACCTCTGCAACAGGGCACAGAGAACTTGCCGTGGTGGGAGCAGCAGCGAGTTTCCTCAGCTCTGTGCCAGGGCAAAGCCAACCCTGGTGGACCCACATCAGCCTCGGTCAGACTCCTCGTGCTGCTGAAATGCAAGACGTTGTTTTCTTCCTTCAGTTTAAATCCCTGCACTTTGTAATTTACACAGAAAAAGGGCAGCTCCAGGAAACTCCCTTCCCCTGCCACGGGCTCCTCGGCTGCTGGGGAGGCTGAAAGACAGCAGAACGTGCTGTTGGGTCTTGTGCAAAGCTCTTGATTCCTGACCTGCAGCAGTAAATCTGGTTTTGCATTTGGATTTATTTCCTCTGAAACCTACTGAGCCCTTGCAGGTCTTCCCTGGGTTTCTTTCTGTGTGTGCTGCTAATGGAGTTGGCAACGCTCCCTGGTAATGAGAGATTGCACCTCGGCGGGCTTGTCGGAAGGGAGGGTGGTTAATAAAGAAAGCCTGGGACTTTAAACTCATGTTAACATTAATCTGATTAATATAAAAGGGAAAAAAAAGCCTGGAAAACCTTTCAGGGAGGGTTTGCTCTCCCTTCCTCTGGCTTGCTCTGTAGCCTGGTGAGGCTGTGGGGCAGGAGGCAGCTCGGCTCTGCCCGTGGGGCTGCAGTGGGGCTAAGCCCTGCTGCTGAGGGGTGGCTGGGCAGGGGTGGATCCTGAGGAGAAAATTGGGTTTTCAGGGGAAATGATACAAGCTGGAAATGATGTCTTGGCTCAGCAGACAGCAGGGCAGCCCCAGAACCTTCCATGCACCTACAGCATGGCCGGGTTTGTCCCCATCTCACCTCACCTTCCCTCCCTGGCCAGGTCAGGGGGTTGTTGCTGCTCCCACTTGACCCAACCACCTGAACTTCGGTTTGTACCACGGCACAGGGGGATATATACTCCACAAGATATTATTATTTTGTCCAGTGTAGCATCTGACATTTCTTATTAGCCATAAATATATATCTAGGTTGAATCTTTCTTTCGAATCTTTGCAGAGCACTCGGCTCAGCAGCCTCAGCAGCCTGGTGCTGGTGGCCTGTGCTGTGTCCAGCCACGTGTGATTAATCACCTTCCAGTCCTATCGGGTGGCCCCTTGCTCTCCTGTTGTAGGAACAGATAAATAGGCATTAAGAAGCTCTTAATTTTGAGGGAAAACTCCTCCCTCATCTCTTGCCTGCAGGCGTGCACACTCATACATCGCTTCAGGTTCCTTCCCTTGCTGGGAAATCTTAACCAGCAGCCCATAATTTTCTTTGGCCTTGCCTGAGACTTCTTTTCTTTTTCTGCTACCTTAGTTTTGAGTGGGTTAGGAGCTAGTTGCAATATTTAAAATTGGAGGAGCTGTCATGAGGTGGTGGCTGCCTGCAGAGCTTGCCCTGGCGCATTGGGGGCCATCTAGGGCCATGTTGTGATGCTTGGGGCTTCTGGGACTCAGGGACATGCAAACCTCTGGCTTGATGGTGGTGTCACACCTTTGAGAGGACCAGTGTGGTGGCAGCAGGGACCCAGGGCCTCCACTGGCTGCTTTTGTGCTCACCACTTCTTGGTCTAACCCCACAGCACCAGTGACTCTGGTGCCTTCACAACCTGCACGTGGGTCACAACCACCCCAGGCAAAGCTCCAGGCTTGGGGCAGGGTGGCTGGAAACTGCCTGGCAGAGAAGGCCCTGGGGACACCAGCTGAAGGTGAGCCAGCAGTGTGCCCAGGTAGCCAAGGTGGCCACCAGCGTCCTGGCCTGGATCAGAACTGGTGCCTCCAGCAGGAGCTGGGCGGTGGTTGTGCCCATGGACTCAGCACTGGGGAGGCCACAGCTTGAGCTCTGGGCTCAGTTTTGGGAGCCACAGGACAAGAAAGAGCTTGAGGGGCTGGAATGAGTCCAGAGAAGGGCAATGAGGCTGGTGAGGGCTCTGGGGAACATGGCTTGTGAGGAGCTGCTGAGGGACCTGGGGGTGTTCACCCTGGAGAAGAGGAGGCTGAGGGCAGAGCTTATTGCTCCCCACAGCTCCCTGACAGGAGGCTGGAGTGAGGTGGGAGCTGGTTTCTTCTCCCAAGGAGCCAGCAATAGGATGAGAGGCAATGGGCTCAAGTTGCACCAGGAGAGGCTTTGACTTGATATTAGGAAGAATTTCTTTCCTGCATGAGAGGTGAGGCCTTGGCCCAGGCTGCCCAGGGAGGTGGTGGGGTCACCAACCCTGGAGGGGTTCAAAAAATGTGTAGCTGTGGCACTTCAGGACATGGTTTAGTGCTCATGGTACTGTTGGGTTGCTAGCTGGACTCGATGTTCTTAGAGTCCAAACTTAATGATTTTATTTTCTATAAACTCAGACAAGCAGTTATTTTTTTACCTGTACAGTTACTAAACATCAGAATCAAGTACTGCTCAGCAAGAGTGTGTTTGGGGCCCACAGCCTCTGTCTCTGCCTTGCTGGTGGCCCAGGGCTGGGCTGCCAACCACGGGCCCCACACCCCTGGCACACCCTGTGTTGGTGCCCAGCAGTGGCCTCACCTGGGCAGCAGCAGGACCTGGCCCCACAGATGCCCAGGACATTGCAGCTCTCTCCCTTCCCTCCATGGTTTGGCCAAAACCTGCTCATTCCTGAACTTCTCTTTCAGCCCCTGGTAGGTGCCAGCCACCCCTGGTCCCTGGGGCTGGCAGAGGCACCTCCTGGGCACACAGGCCTCGGTTCCAAGGACATTTTGGCACCTCTGCATAGTCCCCCTAAAGAGGACAGTGGCAGGAGCAGAGGCCTGGGTGCGTGGTGCTCAGTTCTTGGGCACGGTTTGGTTGGAAGTGAATGCAAGGAAGACTCTGCCAGCTGCACAGAATAATTTTAAATCCATCAGTAAGAGTTCATCTCAAAGTGATTTGACTGCATAACGAAATAAATACATTTTTTTATTGACAAAGTGATATTCTCCTCACTCAGATCCAGGAGATGGTCCACTCAGACACCACGTCCTACGAGTCCAGCCGCCAGGTGCCCCTGCTCAGCCGCCCCGGGATGCTGGGCAGCCCCATGGGCACCCTCAGCCAGTCCCAGCTCATTTCCCAGATGGGGATGAGGAGCAGTGTCACCCACGGGTCCCCATCGCCCCCGGGGAGTAAGTCTGCAACACCATCTCCCTCCAGCTCTACTCAGGAAGAGGAGACAGAGTCACACTATAAGGTACGTGCAGTCGATGCCTTGTCTACCCCACAGTGAGGGAGTGAGAGTGGTGAGACCCTGGGATGGCCCAGGGAGGGGGTTGAGGCCCCATCCCTGGGGGTCTTTAAGGCCAGGCTGGAGGAGGCTCTGGGCAGCCTGATCTAGTGGGAGGTGTCCCTGCTCATGGCAGAGGGGTTGGAACTGGGGGATCCTTGGGGTCCCTTCCAGCCCTGACAGATTCTGATCTGTTTTAGCAGAGGACTTTAGAGCCCTAATGGCTCAATGGTTGGACTTGATGATCTTGGAGGTCCCTTCCAACCTAAAGGATTCTATGATGGTTCTCAGTGAGGGATAAACTGTGCTAAATGAGCACAGACCTTTGGCCTTCTTGTCTTTTCATGTACATGTATGTATATCTAGTGGGAGACCTTCCCAAGGATGGGGAGATTGTTTCCAGCAGGTCCTTGGAGCCAGGCAGCTGATGGTTTTAGGAGGTTTCCCAGCCTCACTGGTGCATTTAGCTGCTTCATTGCTTTGGAGGGTGTACACGTGCATGGGAGGGAGGGGTAGTCACAGCCCAGACTCCAGCTGGGTTACCAATCTCTCCCCATAGTTACTAAACCCCTGCTGCCCCTGCTTTTCATGGCTTCAACATCTAAGGAGGCACCAAGCCACCAGTTCATGGGATCACATCTGCCACCCAGTTGCCCCAGTCCACATCTGCTGTTAAACAAACCTTCTGCTGCCTCTTCTGAGCAGGCCCCTGGAGGGACTGGTGGCCATGGACTGCATGAGCCCTCACGGTGTGACCCTGGCTCCCCCCTTGGGGCTGCAGCAGCCACTGGCTCACTGGGCATTGCCTCTGGCCATGAGCATGGCTCAGGTTGTCCAAGCAGCTTCTGTAGTCCAGGGCTGGGCTGTTGTCTCCTCCCATGCTGCATCACCCCTGGTAAAGCCCAGAAAACACAGCCCAAGTCCTGGCCTGCCTGGCTCCCTCCTGGGCTCTGGCAGCTGCAGGCAGCCTCACAGGATGCTCTGGGTTCCATACACACCAGCTGCTTTTTGGTGCTGCCTGAGCAGGAGTGGGTGTGAAAGTGCCATCCTGGCTGTGGCCACACTGTGCCTGTTCCTGCCTCCTGCTCTGGGTCAGCAGCTGAGGAGAGCAGGTCCCTCCATGGCACTGAAGTGAATCAAACAGGACTGGAGTTAGTCAGAGCACCAGCTCACTTGCTAATGGGCTGAAGCCCTGCCCTGCTTTCTTTTTTCCCTCCTAATAAGCTGCCCTGTCACCTCCAGGCCTCCCATTCAAGCCCAATTGGGCAATTTTCAATTAAATGCCTTTATTTTTGCCTCTCTGCTCATTTGCTAATGGTCAGTGTCTGTCTGACACATGTCACTGCCCTGGTACTGAACTTCATGACCAGTCAGGAGCTGTTGGGTGGGGAAGAGGAGCACTGCTGCCCTCTGCTCTCCCCACGCCTGCCCTGTGCCAGCTGAAGTGAAGCCTCTTCAATCCCAGCACACAATCAAATCAGCAGATCCATCAGCAGACAAGGCCTTTTGCTCCCAGGAAGCAGAGTTTCCACAAGGGCTTGGTGTTCAGACCTGTGTCCATCGATTTTTTCCAGTTTTTTTTTTTTTCTTTAGACCTCTAAGTGACTGACTGGGCAAGTTTTGGAGTGATATCATCAGCCTGTGTGCTTGACAGAGCTGAAGGCAGGCAGTGGGTGAGCACTTGGTGCTTGAGCAGAGCATGGTGGGGCTGCTCACTGAGGTGCTGGCCCCCAGTTTGTCCTCGAGGCTGCCACCATCCAGACTGCAGCAGCAACTGGCAGCAAAAGGTTTTATTCTCTGCCATGTTTAACCCCTGGTGTATTTAGATTTTTCCTCTGCCATAAAACAAGGCTAATGGTGCTTCTGTGTGCTGCAAGCTTGCACTGAGCATAGTTAATGCACTGAGAGCTTTGAGGTATGTCCAGGTGCTTGCCAGGGGTCTCTTCCCTTGCACACCATCACACAGAGGCTTCTGTGGTCCCAGGTACTCAACATGCTGCCCAGGGCATCCCAGGGGCTGCTCAGCTGCAGGAGCAGCCCTGTGCCCAGCCCTGCTCTTCCCTGTGTCCTGCTCCCCTTGGTTCACCCCCCACAGGGCACCGTGTGTGGGTACAACCAGTCCCAGATGCACCCAGACCAGCTGTAAAGAGTGTGTGGGGTGTGCAAAGCAGTTCATCCATCAGATTGAAATAGTTCAGCTCCCAGATATCTTTCCTGGATAGGGATATGTGCTTATTAGCAGGGTGAAACAAATTCCAGGTGGTCCCAGTGTGATGGGTAATGTGCTGCTGGTGCTGCCTGGGGGGTGCTCATGGTCCTCCTGCCATGGGAGTGGGGAGCCTGAGCCACCAGCACACGTGTAGGTGGGGAGAGTCAGAAGCAAATTGCAAAGGGGGGTTATTGGGTTGGGAATTAGAAGCCACCTGGAAGCCAGGTTTGGAGAAAATCGTGGAGGGCTAAAGGGGTCTGGCTGGGAAGCAAGGCAGCTGAAGAGGTCCCAGAGGAGGACTGTGAAGTGAAGAGAGCTGGTGCTGCTGGGGAGGAGGAGACAGAAGGTGGGTGACTGAGGGTGAGCACCTGGAAAGCCCAAGCTTTGGAGCAGGGACCACTGGATCAGCAGAGGGTGAACCCAAGCTGTGAACTGGGCTGTGAGGAGGCACCCAAGCCAGGCTCAGGCACTTGCCACCAGTTTGTGTAATGATCCCAGAGGCTCCTGGGGCCAAGGAGACCTGCAAGGCTGTTGCCCCCCTTGCCACACTGCAATCCCTCCTCCACCCATCCCTCTCTCATCTCTTTTGCTAACAAGCTGTAGCAGGGACTCACATCACACCACTCCCAGCTGCCTGCTGAGGTTCATCTCTTGGTTTTGCAGGTCACTGGAGAGAAAAGACCCTCAACAGACCTGGGCAAAAAGCCCAAAAGCCAAAAGAAGAAGAAAAAGAAGGACCCCAATGAGCCCCAGAAGCCCGTGTCAGCCTACGCCCTGTTCTTCAGGGACACTCAAGCAGCCATCAAAGGGCAGAACCCCAATGCCACCTTTGGGGACGTCTCCAAAATCGTTGCATCCATGTGGGACAGTTTGGGAGAAGAACAAAAACAAGTGAGTGACTGATCTCTGCTTTTCTCTTGGTTTGGTTTGAGTTGGGCTTTTTTTTGTTTCATCTGCTGAGATGTGTTTTTCCATGGCAGAGAGCATCAGAGCCCCCCCAGGCACCTTAGGAGTGTGGCCAGGGGCTTACACAGCTTTGGAGGGCATGCAGGGGAGCAGGGGTTATTTCCAGGAGAGGTGGTGGAGTCCCCACTGCCACTCAAAGCCATGCAGGGCAGTGCTGGGGCTGCAGGATGTGCTCAGTTTGCCTTGCCTCTGCCCCTTCTTTTTTCTTTTTTTTAGAAAAATCTCTGTTGTTACATAGCAAAGAGTAAACTTTATGACAACTAATTATTCTGGGTAAGATCACACTTCACAAAACCATCAGTGGCCTTTCCCTGACATGGGCTTTCTCCAGCCTTAGCTGGGCCAGGAGTTTGCATTGGTTTATTTACTTAGAAGGAGTGACAGCAAACCAGCTCAAACTATTAGCTCTCTACATCACTGGCCTCAAATCTAACATTAAGGCTTTAAAAGCTTAGGAGGATGTCTGAAGAGGCCTCACAGGGGAAACCTTCCTGCCCCAAAGCTGCCAGCCACTTCCAGTCTGCTGCACGTGGGGATTTGAGGTCCTGCTTTAACTGTGTTGTTGATGCTGAGTCAGTTCCAGAAGCCTGTAATGTCTCATTGCCTGTTGAGAAGACCCCAGGGGACACTTGCTGGAGCAGGTCTGTCTTTTTATCAGGCAGAGGGAGATCTGGCACTGTGTGAAGTGTCTCTGAACCCAAACTTTCTACAACTGACCATCCCCTCATGAGCAGTGACCCCTTCTCCTGGCACTCAGCTCCCAACCTCAGGCTGGTTCCATCTCCCTCTGGGTGTCCATGGCCAGCATATTTCTGGGGAAGGAGCAGCAGGGAGGAGAAATGTCATTTAGCTGGAAGTCGTGCTGGGCCATAGCCTTGCTTTCCACCCCACACCGAGCTGGGAATAGGAGCAAAGCATCTTCTGGGATGAAAGCCCCTTTTTGATCCATTGGGAGCCTCCATACTGGGCACGGTGTTGCTTTTGATGCTTTCACGATCCTGCCTTCCCTCCCCTTTGGATGGATTTCGGGGGGATCATGCTGGAATTGCTGGTGCTGAAGGAGTGAGGGATCCCCTGCTCGTGCAGCAGGCTGACCCCAGCCCTGCTGCCTGGGAAGCTGCAGGGCCAGGGCTGGGTTTGGGCTGTCAGTGCTGGGTTTGGGCTGTCAGTGCAAGGTGTGGGGGGTTCAGGAGCTTTTATGTCACCTCTGTCTCCTGCTTTCATCCCTCCCAACATCCAGGTCTGCCTCTTACTCCATCTGGTTACAAGCACCTCCCCAGAGTGGGCGCTGAGCTCGCCTGCAGGCGTGATTGATGTGCTGGGGTGCTGGGGTGCCCCTGCCTCAGCAGAGAGCAACTGCTCAGCTCTTAATTAACAGCAGGGATTAAACCAGTCCGTTTATCTTCCCTGCTAACTCTCCCTTCTTCTCTTCTATGTGATAGTAGCAGCCTTGCCATCTCTTTACACACTCGTTCTAAGTGGCTCCATTTCTCCCTCTGTAATTGATTTAATTAAGTCATTTGTTCCTTGTCTGAATGCTTAAATATTAACTTCCTGGCTTTGTCTCCAGCTGTACACTCCTCTCCCAGAGCAGCTGCCTCCCTGCCCGGGACTCTGGCTGCAGGGACACCCTTTATCTGTGTCTCTGGGACTGTGGTGCTGGTCTGTGCAGTGTGACACGTTCCCTCTTCAAGTGTTTGGCTGGGAGAGAGTTTATTTCATCCCTGTGTGCTTCCCTCTGCCAGCAGCCCCAGTCAGGTTTGTTTAGGTTCATAAGGCAATGCCACGGGAAGGAAAAGAGGAAAAAAAATCATTAACAAAGTGTCTTCTATGAGTGCATATAATTCACATAGATAATGTGTGGATGCTTGTGCTGTGAGCCCAAGTGCTGTCCTGCAGAGACATGAGGAGTGCAGTCACAGTGAAGACAAACAGCCCATGCCGAGAGCTCTCTGGGCATGTCTCAGGTGGGGACAGTGACCCAGCAGGACATCTGCACATCACTGGCCAGAACCCTGCTGGGGCTGGGGAGTCCAGGCTGCCACGGGGCAGCACCAGACCGTGGTCCAGCTCATCTCTGGGCAGGAGCATCGTGCTCTGGAGGGTGGTGGAAAGGTGGAAAAGGGAAATATCTCCCCTGGTACACTGCTGCCAGCTCTATTCACAGAAGGGTTTGAGTCTCCTCATATCCTTGCTGCAGAAAAGCAGCACAGAAGACAACCAGGAGAGAAGCCAATAGAGGGATAGGAAAGTCAGTGAGTAAGAGCCACATCTTGGTGTCCTTACTCAATTATGACCAAGGTTTTAGTTAAAGAAAGCTTCTCCTCTTCCTGGCATAAGAAAAGAGGGTGGATCTGAGGCTGTAGGGTCTGATTTGGGGCTGGGCCAGATCTCTCTGAGCCCCTGGAACGTTCAGGGTGGGGCTGGGGAATCACATCCCCAGAGGGCCAATGTGCAGACCCCACCCCCACCATGCAGTTGTTAAGTAGTCGTTTACATCACTGAAGTTTCTGCTACAGATAATGTTTAAAAAACTTATTTTCTACCCTCCAATGGGCACAGTGTTTCCTCAGCCCTGGGTGGCTTTTGGTTGCTGCCTCATGAGAGAACAGGAGGCAGACCAGGCAGGGAGCAACCAGGGAGGGGGTTCAGAGCAAGCTGGCTGCTAAACCCAACCTCAGCCAGAGCATTCTGGACTTGTGATCCTCCCCCCAAGGCAGGCAGAGCCTCAGCCCTGCTCCAGCTGCACTCCCCCCACAGATGCCACGTGGAGCCTCTCTGCAGGCAGAGAGATGTCACCTCTTTGCCAGGTAGCTCAGGCCAGCACACAGAGGGTTAATCCTGTGCCGTTTGTGCCACTAATGATTCTGTGCACTGTAATATCAAAGCTGTAGCTATTTATTTGCCATTGAGCAGGTGGTGCTGCTCCCACAAAGCAAATTTGCTTTCTCTTCCTGATGAAACAAGCAAAATAAAGGTTGCTCACGTCCCATCTCAGATATAGTTCTTTCCCTGTGCACTGGCTGAAAGACAAACACTGAGCAGGAACCAGAATGCACATTATGCAAGAAACCATCTCATCTAGGAGCATCTTTGATTTGGCTGCTGCTGTCACAGGCATCTATTTCACAGAGAGGCTTCCCCCCCACCCCCCTTTCTTTTGTTCTTACTGGTTTATCATTTGTGCCTTTGTCATTTTGTTCCTTCTTCTTCTCTTCCCGGCCTCTTCACAATGAATCTTCATTTTCTCCCTGACACACTTGTATCTAAATTTCCTTATTTCCTGCCTTTTTTTATTTATATCTGTTGCCTGGTGATTTGATCATGCTGTGGAATACAGGATTAGCAATCTCTGTGTCCTTGGGTGCTGCTCAAGGACACCTGTTTGGCAAAGAGCCGTTTTCTTCCCCAATTTAACCCCTTCCAGCCTGGCTGTGCTGTGGAACAGCCTCTGAACATCTCCAGGGCTGCCTTAGCAGGACGTGGTCATCTCCAGTCTTCAACAGCCGGCGTGGCCCTTCCTAAGAAGCTCACATGGGAATCTGAAGAATGTGACTCAGGGAAAAAAAGAAACATTAATACGGGCCCTTTGAACTCTGCAAACAGTTTAGCAGCTGCTCCTGCAGAGCTGGCTTAGACCTGGGTGGGGAGGAATTGCTAATTCAGCCACCCCCAGCCAGGGGGGTACCTGGCTGGCAATCCCCTGCCAGCTCCATGTCCCTGCTCCAGAAGCACAGAGTCCAACGCCTGGGAGTTGGGTTTTTTCACCAGCAGGTATAGTCCAGGGTTTGCAGCTGGAGGTGTGAAAGGACTGCCTGATTTGACAGAAATTAGAAGAATCTGAGCCCTAGGTTGGAGCAGACTCTGCTGATTCCCTCAGAAGGGTTTTTCCCTCACACAGATGTGGTGCTGGCAGCCCGGCCCCAGCCCGTGCCACCCAGCAGTGCTGCAGCCCCCTCCCCTCCTCCCACGGGGCCACCAGCCCTGCTCAGGAGCAGAGGACACCCAGGCCTGTCCTCCACTTGGGTGATAAACCTGAAAACTCTTTGAAGCATTCTCTGAAGCCACTGGTGGGATTTGCTCTTCTCTTCCATGCTCTCTTATCTCCTCTCTCAGCACCTTCCCGTTGCCTGCTGTATTTTAGGGGAAAAGGGCAGTTGCAGGTGCCTCTGGAACCTGTTTCTTTTCATGAGGAAATACAACAAATTTGAAGAATTGGGTCAGTGTTTCCCTAGACCTTGGAAACTCCAAGCAGAGGCATCCAGAAATCCCTGAGCAATCTGCTAAGTGAACCTCAGACTGACCAAAGGCCTTTGCAGTTGAGTGTATGAGTCTGGGGGCACAAAGGTACCAGAGGTGAGTTCACCAGGGCCAGTTCAGTGAATACCAAGTGACTCCAGGGCCAAATGTGTGTCTGATTTTCCCACACAAATGCACAGCCTGGAGCATAACACAGTGTCCACACTCCAGGGAGAAATTACCCAGCAGAAAAATTACTCAGCAGAAGAGAATAGGGAATGATAGGGAAGATGTGCAGGGTCAGAACTGTTCTTAAAGTCAGCTCCACGAGTGTGGCTTCTCCTCCTGAAGAGGAAGATCAGAAATGTAAGGTGGGAGCTGTGTGCTTTTCATTGGAGGTGAGGGGCTGGACCTGGCACCCTCCTGTTTGTTTGGAGTTTGGGTTGTGCTGGGAACACACTTGTGCCCTCCTGTGGAACCAGAGGTGACTGACAGCACCAAGTCCAGGCAGAGGAAACCAGGAATCTTTCAGGATCCTTTCATCGATGGCAGTTGCTACCTGATGATGGGCTTGTCCATTCCTTCTCCAAAGGGCTCCTTCACAGCACTGTGTGTCCAGCAGGGTGAAGGAGGAGAGCTCCTGAAACCATGGCAATATTTCCATGGCCAAGACCTTTTACAGAGGTGCTCTCAGGGAGGGGAGATGCTGCTCAGCAGCTCCCTTGCTGGAGATGGGAGAGCCTGGGGAAGCTGAAGCCACCTTGTGATGGGTGGGCAGCACTGACAGGTGCCTCCTGTGTCCAAGCTTGCTGACCTCAGGACGTGGTGACCCAGACTGCAGGCGTTAGCCCAAAGGAGATATGCTGAAGTCTAAACATAGCTTGGGTTAGTTGGTTTAAATGGGAGGAGGGACAGAATAAGTCTTCCCCCTGAAGGGAGCAGGAGGGGTCCAGAGGAGGAGGTGAGGAGGAGCTGGGGAGGAAGAAGGGTGAGGTGCCACGTTTGCTCCAGGCATTTCCAGAGGCTGTGTGGAGGCTGGATGCAAAGACCCCTCTGTGGTGCAGCAGACACAGCAGCAGGGAGGAAGGACTTCCCAGGCATTTTATGAGTAAGCCCTAAGCTACAGTGCCCCAAGAGATGTCTTGCAGGAAAGTATATAATAGTTGCAAAAAAAAAACACCCCCTCCAGATCTACAAGCAGGATAAAATCCAAATGTGTACATTTTGAGGGGAAAAAAAACCCAGTCATGGAATCCTAGAAAGGAGGGCAAGGAGAGACTTGAGAGGTCAGCCAGACCATCCTGCTGCCTGAAGTCAGGATCATCCCTACTTAAGCCATTCTTGATGGATGTGTGCCTAATCTGTTCTTAAACCCTCAGTGCTGGAGATTACACATCTCCCCAGGCAATCTCTTCCCATGCTTAATTATCCCTACTGTTAGGAACACTTTCCTCTGGCTTAGTCAACGTCTCCCTTGTTACAATTTAAGCCTATTGCCCCTTTTCCTGTCCTCAGTAGATGCAGAGGGTCGCTCAGGGCCCCCTTTGCTGCATTGCATTTGGAGACTGGGGCTCTTCTTGGTCTTCTCTCCTAAACAGAGTGAGTCCTTCAGCTCTCCTCCTGGAGACCTGTGCTGCACTTGCCATCTCTTCTCTCCCCACTGGCTCTTTTTTGAAGCAAAACGCCCCAAGCTCCATCTAAAATGGCAGCAGGGAGCTTTCCCCTTGGCTTTTTGAGGAGAGTTTGGGTTCTTTTCAGCCTTCCCCAGGCTTGGGAAGCAGCATTTCTGCTCCAGCAGGCAGGCTGGGTGGCAGAGGTGGCTGGTGACAGCTCTGGCTGTCAGTCAGTGCCTGTGCCACACGGAGCCCTCCGTGGGCGTCGGCGGGGTGGGGAGTAATTGTCTTCTCTAATTAACTGGTTATCAAACAAGAACATTTCATTAAGGCACAATTACTAGCTGCTTTGCTGAGACACAGAGGTGTCAGGATTACGATCCCAACATATGCTTCTTACAGCTCTGATTTTTTGTTTTCATAATCACTAACTGTTTTGCTCCTCTCCCTCCTCCCCCCCCCAACCCACCCACTCATTTAATGACTAATGAATCCTCCTGCTAGGGAATAAAGAAAATAAATCAGCAGGCATGGCAGGTTAGAAAGGAAAACATGCAAAATGTTTTGAGGATCCTTAAATCTGATAAATTACTTTGAAATTAAAATCCCTGGGAGAAAATGGGATTTAATTAGAAAATAACATGTTTTTGTCAATGTTTAAATTAAAATTTCAAAGGTTATAAATACTGCACTAGAGCTGCCTTTACCCAGAGGAGTCATGAGCAGTTTTGTTTGACCTGCACTGCCACATCAGTGCAACGTTTCCCAAGCTCCAGGCTGGGGCTGAACTGCTCAACAGAGCTCTTTGGGGGTGCAGAAACCCCACCCTGCACGGGGCAGGACTGCAGAAGACCTGGCAGGAGACCCTTGGGGATTATTTTTGACAATGAAGGTGTTGAGACCCTGGAACAGGTTGCCTGGAAAAGCTGTGGATGCCCCATCCCTGGTCAAGAGCACGTTGGATGGGGCTTTGAGAAACCTGGTCTAGTGGAAGGTGTCCCAGCCCATGGCAGGGGGTTGGAGCTTGGTGGTCTCTGAAGGTCCCTTCCAAGCCAAAGCTCACAGCTCAGCTGCCCCTTCCCAGCCTTACTGCATCAGCCACTGTCCATAAACTGCAGGCTTATTCCCAGACAAGTTTTCCTAGCAATTGAATTTGTCTCTCTGTAGCTCTGAATACTTTGATTTCCCACTCTCCCAGATTTTTTTTTAAAAAAAAAAAGGCAAAAAAATGCTCTTGGCATTTTGCTGTTGCAGAAGGAAAAAAACCAACCCTGTTTTCAATATATCAGCCCCCAGCTATGGCCCCTGTTACACCAGCCTGAGACACAGGAGTTCATATTTCCCTGCTGGGCAGGCATCAGGTGCTGCATTTAAGAGCATCCTGGTGGACACCCCACGTTTCTGCTTTACAGTAAACTCTGTGGCAAGGATTGGAGAGAAAGTAATAGCTTTTATTAGGGGAGCTGATACAGTTTAAAGAAATAGTTGCTTTTCACAGGCAAACTCTTCTTCAGGCTGACATTTGGAAATGTAATTTTGTTCTGGATGGAGCCAATATAATACCTCCTGACTACCATAAAGCCAAAGACAAACTTAGGAGAACGTTCCATTTCAGAAAATTACCATCTGAGCCCTCCAGTGTGTCAAGTCAAAATGTTTCATTACAGGAATCTCTCTGATTTAGCAATGAAAATAAGATTTCCCAAACCGTTTTTAATAGGATCTATCTGTACTGATTTTAAACTGAAATTCAAAATAATTGGATAGTTTAACTGCTGGAAGGTTGTTTTCCCCTCAGAGGTCAGTATTAGGAGGGAGTCTGGGGTGGGAACTGGCAGGGGAAGGGAGCTGAATATCCCCACTCTGCTTTGGCTGCTGGATTGTTGAAAGCTGCTGTTGTTTTTAAAGCAGAATCAAATGTATGCAAATCTGTTTAATTGGAATCCACTTTTGGTGCACTGCTCGAGGAGGTCTTGGAGCTTCCAGTGGAGGAGAGGGCCAATGGATATTTTTCTCAGGAGTTTCTAGCTTTTTTTTTTTGCTGGGATTTTTATTCTCTTTTTTTAAATATTCTTCTCACTTGCTCAGTTTAATCTGTTTAACCCCACGGGGCCTCGTGCTGCTGGAGACAGGCTGGATCACCTCGCTGTCTTCACATACACAGACCCCTTCTGGGCAGAAAGGGTCCCAGGAGTGTGCAATGATCACAGAGTGTCTCACTCCAGGTGAGAGATGGAAGAATAAACAGCAATTCACTTCTACATAGCTTTTTCTTTCCTTCTCCCTTAGGGTTGCAAACTCTGCTGCTATTTTCTGTTTCCTTGCAAGCCCCAGCTCCCCAGGTCATAAGATGAGGCAAAAATCTCAGCTTTTGGAGGATGAGGAAGCACTTCCCAGTTGTCAGGGCTGCAGAGAAGAGTTGGAGTTTTGAGCTCTAAAGACTTAATAATGGGAAAGCCAAGAAAACTAATTAGTAGTTTAGGATTTCTGAATGTCTCACCGTTTTTTAAGCTGGTCCTATCATTTGGGGGGTTTGGCTCTTTTCCTGCTCTTCCAAGAGCCTGTATCACATTCACCCCTGGTTGCTGGGGGGAAGTGATTTTCCTGGTGGGAAGTGATTTCATTGAGTTCACCCTATAAAATCAGATTGTGACTTTCACAGCAAATGCTTGTAAATGTCTACCTGGGCACACTGGCCTGTGATGCCTCCAAAAATCAGAGCCTGGTCCCATCCAGGGGCTTTATTTAGTTGATTTGGGGTGAGTTCCCTTGCAGCAGAAACGAGTTTTTCTTGCACATGAACATGCAGAAGGGCCTCAGTGGAGGGGGAGGGTCCTGCTGAGCAGGCAGGGTGCAGCCCAGCCCAGCAGCACCCTCTAATACTTCACTGATATTGTCCATTGCTTGGTGTTTCAGGCCTACAAGAGGAAAACAGAAGCTGCCAAGAAGGAGTACCTGAAGGCCCTGGCAGCGTACCGGGCCAGCCTCGTCTCCAAGGTACAGCCAGTGCTGAGTTAGCTGCAGCCCCTGGGGATCTCTGGGGAGGACCAGGCTGGAAAGAAACACGGTGTAATCACCTTCTCAGGACCAATCTCAGTGCCAGCCACCTTCCCAAGGGGCTGAAAGGAATGCAGGAAAGAGAGGGCGGGAGGATGGGGCTGGTGGATGCTGGGGTCTGGCCCAGGGGACAGCCCAGCCCTGGGCTCACTGGCCACCCTGCCTCCTGCCTGCACCCTGCTCTGGGTGCTTGGGCTGTGCCAGCTGCTCAGCACCCCGGGTCCTGCTCCTCCCAGGCACGCTCAGCCCAGAGCAGAGTTTTTAGGGAGTGAGGCACAGGACTGGGGTGGGTGAGCATGTCAGCACGTAGTGCTTGACGGACTGTTGTCAGACCAAACCCAGAGAGCCCATTCCAGAGCTTGATAGTGAACCTTGAGGGGATTGCAGGTTCAGACAGCAACTCCCAGTGCTGCAGGCTGCACCCGGGGCCACAGTGATGGGCCAAGTTCCACCCATCCCATCCCCAGGCACCTCACACCTTGCCCTTCTCCATGCCCTCAGAGAGGGGCCGTGGGCATCTGCTGCCTGTGGATTTTAGGTGGCTCCTGCAGAGCTCATAGGCTTGCTGGCTCAGGGGGACGTGCTGCCCTTGGGTTGTGAGTGTGTCTGTCAGGTTGTTCTCCCTCCAAAGCTTCTTCTCGTGGTACTGCTCCACTCCCTCAGTGCTTAGTCACCTCATTCAGCTGCAATGGGAATAATGCAGTGTCCCAAATCAACTGTCACCTGCAGGATCCCTGTGATTGTGACAGGGGGCTAGCAAGGCTCAAAGCCCCTCTACAGACATGAGCAGCATTAGCTGCCTTAGCTTGTAAACAGAACAGCAGCAAGGACCAAAAAAAAAAAAAGGAATGGAAATGATTATTTGGGGTTTTAAAAGCTCTTCCTGGTCCCTCTGGAAACCTCTCGAGTCTTGCCATGACTGTGCCTAGCAGCAGGGTGGGGGCAGGTAGCATGGAAGTCATGGAGTCATCCCCCCTGGCTGGTGGGTGAGAAAGGATCTGGAGTATCATTACAGAGCCCATCACAGGACAAAACCCTCATTGTCTGAGCCAGAAAATGTCCCATCCTTCTCTTTTTCCTGCAGAAATGAGGCCACCGTTGGCCTGTGTGTTATAGACCACACCAGGGCTGAAGGCATGCAGAAGATGAGGGGAGCAGGATTTTTACAGTCCCATTTGTTCTCTGTTGGAAGCAAAAGTCCACTGCACTTAGGTGGGCCTAAGGAGTGAGCTGCAGGCAGGCAGCTTGCCTCCGTGCCAGTCAGTGCCCCTCCAATGCTCCAGGCTCTGCCAAAGGCACGGCTGAGTTACTGGAGTCCCATTTCCCAGATGTGGATTCTGCACCCAGGAGGTCACCCAGTGGGTGCAGGGCTGGAAGCACACGTGCTGGCTGCTGGGAGAGCAGCAGGAGCCACGGGGAGCTCGGGTGGCCTGGTTGGATGGACAGACACCTCAGGATGTGTCATGAAGTTTCCTCCCTTCCTTTCTCATCACCTTCTCTCCTCTTTTCCCCACAGAGCTCTGCCGACCAGGGGGAGACGAAAAACGCCCAGAGCAATCCACCTTCCAAAATGATCCCCCCCAAGCAGCCCATGTACCCAATGCCACCACAGGCTTCTTCCCCCTACCCCGGCCTGGGCTCCTTCCTGTCCCCATCAGACCTGCAGAACTACCGTGGCCACCCCAGCCTGTCCCGGACCCTCCCCTCCAAACCCATGCTGCCCAGCATCAGTGCCTCCCCACCCCCTTCCTTCCAGATCAGCCCTCCCCTCCACCAGCAGCTCTCCTTGCACCACCCGCAGAGCTCCCTCCTCAGCCAGCCCCTCAGCATGCAGCAGGTCCCCCAGCAGCCCCTCCTGTCCCCCCCCATGGCACTACAGGTACAGCCCCCCATGAACGCCTCGCCTCCTGGGCAGCAGGTAGGTGCTGAGAGCAGGGGGGGGTTGCAGGAGGAACCACACCAGTTCCCCTCTCGTGATCTGGGGATGTTGGGTGTTGATGTTGTCCCCAGGGGAATCTTCTCCTGGCTCCACCAGCTTGCAGATCTCATTGTTTGGGGGTGACATTCTCAAGGGTGTTGAGCTGAGAGCACAAGCACCTGCCAAAGGTGACTGAAGCAATGAGGCTCCTTCAGTGGGGGAAGCTGCTGGAATTGGGGATGCTCCTGGTGGAAGGTCCTTGGTCTGGGTGGCTTTCACTGATGGTCTTCTGAAACAATGGGCTGGGTAGTTGGCAAGAAACCCCTGTTGTGATATTGCTGAGAGCTGGGGAGGATGGAAGGGATAACAGCATGGGTCCAGGGTGGTTGCCAGAAGGAGAAGAAGGGTGTATATAAAATCCCTATTTTTCTAAAATCTGCCTGGCAATAGGGGAAGGATCACTGCTGCAGCAGAGCTGAGAGCATGCAGTGTGTGCTGGCCTGGGTGCTTCTACTGACAGCAGAGCAGCAAAGCAGATCCATGAACCAGAGCTGTCAGTGTGCAAAGCCTGCAGAAGCAAACCACCCTTAGCCATGCCTGGCTCAGCCCCTGCTCAGGAGCCAGCCTGCAGGGGCAGCACCTCCCCTCTTGAAACCTCCCATTAGGAAAAGGCACATTTTTTTTCCTGCTGGAGGAAAAAAATGTGCTAGGGCAGAAATCATATCCTATCCCTTACAGAGAACTTGCCAGTGTCTGACAGAGGAGACTAGCAGCTTCCAGAGATTCTCCATCTGGAATATGAACTGGATGAACTGTTCACAGTGGGGGACATATGCTCTGAATTCACAACTGCTGCCCTGTACTTGATGATGTTCATAACTGCAGTGTTCACTCAGCTTGCTGAATAATTTGTGTTTCATGTGTTTACTAGCTATATATTGCAAAATTCTTCCAGTGCTTTAGCAAGGAACATTTTTTTCCCATGATGTGACCAGCTTGGGGTTAACTTTGAGAGAACAGAAATTGTTAATATAGGAACAGATATTTTAGTGGAAGAAAACCAAAGGAGAGCAGGGATGAGGAAGCATGGTTACACCTGACCATACTAAAAAGACAGCACCAGTGGGAATGTCAGGTCCTTAGCAATCAGATCATAACTTCCAGCCTGCTCAGGATATTCCCAGTAAATCCTCCAGCATGGTGATTGCCCTTTGGCTCTCCAGAAGCAAAAGTGGCTTCTGTAGTTTGGTGATAGTGGAGAAATGAGCAGGGAAGGGGATCCTCCTACTCACTTTAGTTGTTGTAGTGGCTGTTGCTGAGGGCAGCATTTTGTGAACCTTCATTCCAGGTTCCACATATGTTTGCTAGTAAAAACTTAAATATTGAAAAAGAAAACCAAACCCACTGCCCTAACTTGGATGTTCTGGAGAAAATCCTGTTCTTGTGCAGGTAGTTACCATGCTTCATGGTTATGTATATTGCCCAATGAGGCCAACCCCCCAAAATCAGGAAAGCCTCTCAGTTTTCAGACAGAACAGTCCTGCAGCATCCCTGTGAAGCTGCCAGCAGTGGCACAGGGGATGGAGAGCCCGTGGCTGGAGGGCCACACATTGGGAGGGGCTAAGACACTGCTGCAAAGGCAGGACGAGGGACAGGGCTGGATCCAGAGTGCTGACAGAAGAGCTCTGAGGGCTCTGTGTCCTCCACAGCCATTCACCACCCCCCAAGGAGGGAGGGCTTAAAAACAACAGGGGGAAGAGGGTTGGAAAATAGATGTTGCTGCACTGACACGTGCTTGCAACAGCTCCAGTTCTGCAAGGTCCCACCACGGTGGCTTCAGGTCCTG